TAGATGGAAATGAGACACTTAGTCTCTTAAAGGGAAGCTTGTTTTGGAAAAGTCAACCGGAAGTTTACTATTGAGTTAGAGGGCTCGGATGTGATTTCCGGTGTTTCGGTTAGCTTCGGGGGGATGATTTGTGACTTGAGAGCGTGATCGGAAGTGATTTTGGAGGTCCGGTGTAGAATTAGGCTTGAATTTGGCGAAGTTAGTATTTTGGCGGATTCCGATTGATAGGTGAGATTTTGATCCGAGGGTCGGAATAGAATACCGAGAGTTGCAGTAGTTCCGTTAGGTGATTTTGGATGTGTGTGCAAAATTTTAGGTCATTCGGAGGTGTTTTGGTCGGGTTTTTGATCGAATGCGTAATTCGGAAGTTTTTAAGAAACTTAGACTTGAATCCGATGTGATTTAATGGTTTTAGCGTTGTTAGATGTGTTTTGAGGATTGGAACAAGTTTGAATGAGGTGTTAGGATGTGTTGGTGCTTTTGGTTGAGGTCCCGGGGGCCTCGGGGTGAATTCGAGTGGTTAAACGAGAGTTTTTGGAAGTTGCTTCAGGTCTGAGATTTCTGTCATCTGGTATTTCCGCTTCTGCGGAAATGGACAGCAGAAGCGGTTCCGCAGAAGCGGGTGGAAAAGCGCAGAAGCGATCTTGTGTTGAATTGATGAGTTCCGCATAAGCGGACCCCTTTTCGCATCAGCGGGTCCGCAGGTGCGAGTGAATAACCGCAGAAGCGGTCTTGGGTAATCCGCAGAAGCGGAGAGTATGTCGCAAAGGCGGAAGTGGTAAGTTAAGTAAGTAACCGCATAAGCGGGGAAATGGCCGCAGAAGTGGTCCCGCATATGCGGAAGCGGGACCGCATAAGCGAAAATCGCTGTAGGCAGAAGGGGTTTTATAATATCATTTTCATCCGCGAGAGTTAAGTTATTTCCACCATTTTTACACGAGCTTGAGAGCTATTGGACGGATTTGAAGGAGGATTTCGACTAGGTGTGATAGGAGGTAAGTCCCTTGACCCAAATACATGAAATTATGCTAAATTTAACATGGAAATTGGTTGAAATTCATCAAAAGGGGGTAAAGCTAGGGCTTGAGAATTTGTAATTTTGAAAGGGAATTTGGAGGGTCAAATGGACTCCGATTTTGGTAAAATTGATATGTATGGACTCGTGGCGAGATGAGGATTCCGGTGATGTGAATTTCGTAATTTTTCGAGAAGTGGGTCCGGGGCTCGGGTTTTGCCAACTTCGTGATTTTTGATTTTTTTCGAGTCTTTTCGATTGGGTTGTGATCCATTAGCCTATTGTGATGTATTCCTTGTGGTTTTGATCAGATTCGACGCGCGAGGAGGTCGATTCGAGGGGAAAAGGCATAGTGAGCTAGACTTTCGGCCGGCTAGAGGTGAGTAATGATTTTAAATGATGTTCTGAGGGTTTGAAAACCCCGGATTTGCACAACTTGGTGCTATGTTGAGATGAGACACGCGTTCCATGACGAGCGCGGGGTCATTTACTATTGGGGACTGCGACTTGGTCCAGTCCGGATGATATTTTACCGCGTATTAGCAATGACTTGTTGTTTTCACTATGATTTGGGCTTATTGCCATATTTGGGGCTTATTGCCGACTGTTTGAACTCTTTATGAACTATCATCACTGTTTTCCTCACTGTTTGAAATATTATTTGAACTCAGTCCATGTGATTTACACCGTTTCTTGAACTCAGCCATATTTACTCAAACTTGGAGTTTTAAACTGATATTTGAACTATTGTTTGAGCTGAGTATTATTGCTTTACTGTTGCCCGAGGGGCTGTTGACTATTTCTGGACTGATTGAGGCCAAGGGCCTTATGTGAGGGCATGATGAGTAAGGTGAGGAGGCTTTCAGGCCTCGTATTGATACTGTTCAGGCTTTCAGGCCTTGTTGATAGCGCTTGGGCTGTAGGAGCCCCTCCGGAGTCTGCACACCCACAGTGAGCGCGGGTACCCTTCTAGAGTGATTAAATATTGAACAGTGGTAACAATGACACTGTTATACGCGTTTGGTCAGGTAACAATGACTGACCAGTCAGGTAACAATGACTGACCAGTGGTAACAATGGCACTGTAACACGCGTTTGGTCAGGTAACAATGGCTGACTTACTGGTGGAGTATGATTGATTTTTAACTGTTTTCAAAAAGATTTTCTTCCTATATTTCACTGGTTTCTACTGTTTATCTGATGTTGCTTCTTGAGATAGCATTATTTGTGCCCTTGTGGGATTTTATGTTCTCAGTCGTTATTTATTTTTATTACTCACTTGGTCGGAGTACTCACATTACTTCCTGCACCATGTGTGCAGAGACAGGCACAGCTGAGTTCGTACCTGAGCGCTGATTTCCTTCCAGACCAGGCGGACTAGGAGAGACGAGGTAGTTGTCGACGTCCACAGCCCCGTTTCTTCCTTATCTTCTGCGTACTTTATTCATCTTCAGACTATGTTTCCAGACTTGTAGTATTTTCGTCAACTCTGTAGTAGCTCATGACTTGTGACACCCCGATTATCGGGCTGAGTTTGGGATGGTTTTTCCCCGTTATGTTACGTTTATTTCCGCACTTATGATTAATCAGTATCTATGGTTAAAACCTGTTTATGCTAAGAAATTGTTAAAAGCAGTGTTGATTGTTCTGTTGGCTGGCCTTGTCTTCACGAGAGGCGCCATCACGACCGGGTGGGAATTGGGTCGTGACAGTGTGCATGTTTGGTTTGGAGCCCCGAGGGCTCGGGTGAGTTTTGGATAGGCCACGGAGTGAAATTTGACTTAGGAAAACTGCTGGTATATTGCAGACCTGCAGGCTTCGCAATTGCGAAGCCTGGCTCGCAATTGCGAGCCCGCATTTGTGAAAAACCCATCGCATTTGTGAAGACTGGCTGGATAGGGAACCTTCGCATTTGCGAAGCTTAGGTCACAAATGCGACCTTGACAGGCACCACAATTGCGAACATTGTTCGCATTTGCGAAGAAAGCAGACATAGGCCATCCTTCGCAATTGCGAAGCTTTGGCCGCAATTGCGAGTTCGCATTTGCGAACCAGGCTTCACAATTGCGATATCTGCGCTTGTGTAAATCATGACTTAGCCGAAAATCTTTCATTTTTCAAACCCTTTGAAAACCTAAACACATTTGGACGATTTTTCAAAGACAAGTACTCTACCAAATCGATTGTAAGTCATTTCTAACTCGTTTTTATTAATCTTTAGCATCTTTTCTCATGATTTCAACTCAAAATCAAAGGTTTTCATGGGGGAAATTGGGTGTTATGGGTAGAACTTAGGTTTTTCAAATTTTGGGGATTTGTACCTCGATTTGAGGTCCGATTTCAAAATAAATTTTATATTTGAGTTCGTGGGTGAATGGGTAAACGGGTTTTGGTTCGAACCTCGGGTTTTGACCATTGTGGGCCCGGGGTCGATTTTTGACTTTCTGGGAAAAACTTTAGAACACCTATTTTCATGCATTAGAATTGATTCATTTAGCATTTATTGATATAGTTAAGTAACTTGTGGCTAGATACAAACGAATTGGTGGTGGAATCAAGAGGTAAAGCAGTAATTGAGGCTTGAATTGTGTTCGTGGCATCGAGGTAAGTGTTTGGTCTAACCTTAGCTTGAGGGATTAGGAATCGTGTCTTACTTGCTATGTGTTAATTGTTGAGTACGACGTATAGGCATGGTGACAAGTATCTATACATTGGCGTTAAGCATGCCCGTGAGTCTTATACTATGATTAATGTGACTCCGTTTTGTATTATTCATGCCTTATGTGATGATTTCCATTGTTGAACGAGGCTTGTGGAAGTAATATTGGTAATTGAACATTGAAGAGCGTTGACTCAAGTTGTAAAATGATTTGTGGAAGTAATATTGGTAATTGAACATTGAAGAGTGTTGGCTCAAGTTGTAAAATGATTTGTGGAAGTATTTGCCTTTAGAATTTAATCGATTAGTGGACCAATAAATTTTCGCAGAGACTCAGTGCGATGACGGCTAAATTTGGGAGAAATTCAAAAATAGCCAGATTTACCACTGGTCGTTGAAAAATAGCCAAGTTTCAAAAGTCATCGAAATTTAGCCACTTTAAATCTGAGCGAAAACACTGTTCAAAATCCGGAAAAATACGCCCGCAAATTTTACGGGAGTTCCAGGATAACTATGCTGGAACTCCCGTAAAATTTGCGGGAGTTCCAGCAAGTATAATTGTCCAGTATAATATACTGGAGTTTGGAGCACTGGTGCTCCAGTCTCCTGCAAATTTTACAGGAGTTAGCAAAGTATACCGGTCCAGCATAATATGCTGGAGTTCGTACACAAATGCACCAGAACTCCCGTATATTATACTGGACCGGTCCCTGTTGCAACAAAATAGTGGCTATTTTTCATGGACTTAATAAACGCTGGCTATTTTTTGATTGACCAGTGTGAAAACTGGCTATACCATGATATTTTAACCTAAATTTCCGTCACTATAAGTTCTGGAAATATAAATGTTATTCCCTCCATCCTATTTTATGTGAGACGACTAAAAGTACGAAAGTTAAATTATTTAAATTTTGGTGTAAATTTGAACATAAAATTTTAAATTTATTAAAGTAAAATTTATATATTTAAATTATAAAAAGATATGTCACTAGTCGTAATAACTAACAATTTAATGTATTTAAAAAGTATATGAAAATTTTGAGATTAGAAAAAACTCTTTTGATTCTTCAAATAGTAAATGCATCACGTAAAGTGGGACAAATTGATTTTAATATCGTTGCTTATCTATAGTAATAGATCTGTGAACTTAATCAACAAAAGAACGACATATTTTAATATTCTCATTCAAAATCTTCCACATAAATATTACTTATAACATGGTACAACTTTCAAAAGTTTTATACCGAGATGTTATGGTCTATTAAAAAGTCTTTTATTATTATTAATACTAATAATAAATTTTGTGTCAAGTCAAATTACGACAAATAAAATAAAACTGGGGAAGTACTATATTTTATTAACTGAATCCTTCATAGGTAACATATTACAAAAACAATTGACCATATCTTAATTTATATATTGTGACATCTTTTACTGAGTATTAACAAAAGGGTAAATTTCATATCTAAAGTTACAGCTTCCACCAACAACTCTTCCACCTTCTTTTCCATCACAACAACTTGGAATTTCAGTAATAATACCCTCAAGACATTTTTTACAGTCTTCATTAGAAAGATCCCTTGTGCATTGAACCAATCCATACAATTTCTCATACTTATCTCCAATTAACTCCATCTCTCCATTTGCATATAAATTCTGCTTTTTATAAGCTTTTTCAACTAAACTTCCCAATAATTCTTTAGTCTTTGCATTAAAAGAGTCTGACTTATTCACAACACGAACATTCCACATGTAAAACTTGTACGTATTATCAATTTTTCCTAGAAAATCATTGTATGAATATTTTAGAAGGCAATTATCGTACCATATTATGGCTTCTTTATCGTAAGGACAAAGTTTACCAAGTTCTTCACTTGCATCTACTACACAGGACTTGCAATTTGTGCTTGAAACATCGCCGCGACATAGTGAAAGTCCATAAGTTTGATCGGGAGTTTGCCTGATTGAGCTAGTTGAGAACCCTGTTGGGGGTGTTTTTAAGTAAAGATCACCTAAGAGATTTTTCAAGTTTTTTGCGTAGTAACTATTGGCAGTGAAGTTTCCAGATTTTGAACAAAAATGGAAGAGTGGATCAGTGGAAATCACTGTTTGTACAAGAATTGCAATATATAAAAGGAAAAATAGAGAAGAAATTATTTTTGAGGAAGTCATTTTTTTAGGGAAAATGAGATGGTATAAAACTTCATATAGTACACCATTTTATATACTAGCTAGCTTGCAATTTGCAACTAGGGAAAATGGCCCATTGTTGTTCAATATGGCTTGACTTTTTCATGCTTTTTTGTTTTTTACGTCTGTTGTATGTTTATTTGTTTTGGGTGGGAGAGGTTGACTATTTCCTCTTTGGCGTTCTTTTCTTCTAATCGGAGTTTTAAACAGTATGCAGTTGGAAAAATCCTTAATTGTAAAATTGAGCATGACTATGTATTCTCAAAGACGGGTATGTTAGGTCCATCTTGTTAGGATCGAAATAGTCATGTGTCATGCTAAAATTAACAAAGCAAATCTTGAACGACGATAAATCATTTAAAAAAAGAAAAATATATCAAAAGAGACATAAACATTTAATTGTGATGACCCAAGGGGTTATCTTTTGTTTTAGAATCCGAATCCAGGTTCCGAGGTCTTGAAAACCTCATTTTCTTTCTCCTCGATTTGTGTGCACAGTCCTGGCGCGTTTCCGGAAAGCCTTTATGTGAAATTTAAAAAAATATTGAAGTTTGCCTTTTAAATTGGTTAAAGTTGACTTCGGTCAATATTTTTGGTAAACGAACCCGGACCCGTGATCTGACGGCCCGTAAGGTCCGTAGTAAAATATGGGACTTGAGCGTATGCCTGGAATCGAATTCCGAGGTCCCTAGCCCGAGAAATGAAATTTTGAAGAAAATTGTTTGCTGGAAAATATAAGGATTTTTAGAAATGGAATAGTGTGTGATCTCGTTGGACTCAGGCCCGTATTTTGGTTCCGGAGCCCGGTATAGGTTTGATATGGTATTTAAGTTGTGTCTGTGAAATTTGGTAAGAAACGGGACTGATTTGACGTGATTCGGACGTCCGATTGAGAAATAAGAAATTTCAAGTGTTCTAAGAAAATCATGAGTTTTGGTGTTAAGTTCGTTGTTTAAGATGTTATTTTGGCGATTTGATCGCACGAGCAAGTCCGTATGATATTTTTAGACTTGTATGCATATTTGGTTTAGAACCCCGAGGGCTCGGGTGAGTTTTGGATAGGCCACGAAGTGAGTTTGGACTTAGAAAATCTGTTGTTGCATCTCGTATCTGTTGCAGGCCTCTGATCTCGCAATTGCGAGATCAGGCTTCGCATTTGCGAGCTTCACAGGCTTGGCAATTGCGAGGTTTTTATCGTAATTGCGAAGAAAACCTGGGCCAGCATAGTTCACAATTGCGAACATATCTTCGCATTTGCGAATTCATCAGGGAGGGGGAATTCTCGCAATTTCGACTAAAGGTTCGCAATTGCGACAGTAGCAGACATGCAGCAGGTTCGCATTTGCGATGCCTGTCTCGCATTTGCGATGCCTGTCTCGCATTTGCGAGCTTCGCAATTGCGAAGCTCTGGTCGCAAATGCGACATCTGCAACTGATCAAAACATGACTTAGATGGGATTTCAACTCATTCTCTCAAATTTTCAAACCCTAAGCTCCCATAGGCGATTTTCCAAAGAAGAGTTCTTCCCCCAAATCATAGGTAAACGATTTCTAACTCATCTATTTCATCTTTTTACAAGATTTCATCACAAAATCTAGGGTTTTCATGGGAAATTGGGTGTTTTTGGGTAGAATTTAGGAATTTCGAAATTTGGGGATTTAGACCTCAAATTGAGGTCGGATTTCAAAACCAATTGCATATTTGGGCTTGTGGGTGATCAATGGGTAATCGGGTTTTGGTCCGAACTTAGAGTTTTGACCAAGCGGGTCCGGTGTCGGTTTTTGACTTTTTGGGGAAAATATTTGAAAAATCTATAATCATGCATTAGAATTGGTTTATTTGGCGTTAATTGATGTTAATTAGTTAATTATGAATAGATTCGGGCAGTTTGGAAGTGGAAACCAAAGGAAAAGCGGTATTTGAGGCTTGAGTTTGGCCGTGGAATCGAGGTAAGTGTTTGGCCTAACCTTAGCTTAAGGGATTAGGTGTTGTTGTCTTATTTACTACGTGTTAGTGTTGAGTACAACGTATAGGTGTGGTGACGAGTATCTATACGTCGATGTTAAGCATGCAAGTGAGTCTTATACTGTGACTGTTGTGTCTCTTATTACGTATTGTCCATGTTTAAATTGATGATTCTCCATGTTGAATAAGTCTTACGATATTTTTTTGGTATTGGATAATTGTTGAGTATTGACTCAAGTTGAGACTTATATTGTGAAGTTAACTGTTGAAATAAGATTGGTTATTATTGATTCCCTTACCGGGATGTTATTGTTTCTACTGTTTGGGTGAGGAAGAGCGTAAAGCGCGAAGGGTGATGTCGTGCACGATATTGTTAGTGAGTGTTAATGCACGAAGGGTGATGACGTGCCATATTCTGTGAGTGTTAATGCACGAAGGGTGATGTCGTGCCATGATTATGAGAGTTAAGGCACGAAGAGTGATGCCATGCTGTTTCTGTTGTTTCTTATGGTGAGGACGAGAGTAAAAGCACGAAGGGTGATACCGTGCACGTGTACTATATCATTATTTCTGTTGGTTCAAATATGGTGTTTACTTTGCTTCTCTGTTAAATTCCTGTTATTATTGTTTCTTGTATATGATTTAACTGCACAGGCTCATATGATTGACGTGTCCTAGCCTCGTCACTACTTCGCCGAGGTTAGGCTCGACACTTACCAGTACATGGGGTCGATTGTATTGATACTGCACTCTGCACTTTCTGTGCAGATTTTGGTGCCGGACCACGTGAGTAGAGTTTGGGTTGCTGCCTTCAGTCCACGAGACACCCAAGGTAGATCTGTCGGCGTTCACAGACCCTGGAGTCCCCTTCCCTCTACTTTAGATTTCCTGTCTCTTTCCATTTCGAGAACAGATGTATTTCTTTTAAACCAGTAATTGTAGAACTTCTTAGACATTTGTGAATTGTGACACCAGATCATGGGGGTAGACGTGTATTGGAGTTTTTGAACTTTTATAACACTTCCGCACTTTATATCTTTTTAGCTTTAGTTATTATTTATTTCTGTTTGGGTTAATTATTAATGTGATAGAACCGTAATTGTTGGCTTGCGTAGCATTCCAGACTTAGGCGCCATCACGATCCCGACGGTGGAAAATCCGGGTTGTGACATTAATGTAGTTCGGTCAATTGACCTACGTCCACATGAGGAGATTAGCAATCTACTATATAAAAGAAAGTACAAAATATCGAAAGAACAACCCCACAAAAAGGCAAACACAATTGGTAGGCTAACACTTGTCCCGAAATTCTCCCCCTAAACAAGACTCTCAAATGTGGCTACATTGCGGATGTTGTTGAATGAAAAGGAAGGATTCTCAATTTATAGAAGACTAAAACCTTTTCCTCCAAGAAAAAGGACTAGTCAAAGATGGAAGAATTATATTTCACTTTTCGTGAAAGAAAAAATCAATTACGGTAAATATGTTTTCACTCCTTCAAGAATTAGGATCAATGGCGGATCTAGAATTTATAGGTCGTGGGTGTTTCACTGATTTTAGTGTAAAGTTATGGTGGTCAAATATAATCATAATGGGTGCTCAAGGGGTGACAAATAGGCGGGTTGGGCTGAATTTGGGAGGATAAAGATGGGTTAGGTCAATAAATGGGTCATTACCCAACCCAGCCCAAAGTGTACTTGGTCTAAGATGGGCTGGGTCAAGATGGGCTAAACAATGAGTCATAGCCCAACCAACCCAACTTGACCCATATTTTAGAATCATGCTCATCTTGCATAAAAAAGCCGTTTACCTTAAAATGTGTATGTTGAAAAATATTTTGCGGGTGAGGGTAGGGGTTGGGGTGTGTGCAGTGGCGTACGCAGGATTTTTCATAAGTGGTGTCACTATTTTTAGTAAGAGGCATGTAACAGTCAAAAAATATTTTATGGAGCCAAGGGCGTTCGAACCCAAGACCTCTCACATAAATTTTGAAGGTGTCAACCACTAGACTACTAAGTTGTTTTGTTGCAAGTGGTGTCACTTTTAATGCTTTTATCTTGTATTTCTGTTTTACTTATTATTTTTATGTATATAAATAGTAAAAAAATTCGACGAAGCGGTGGCCCGTGACACCCCTTGGGTCCACGTAAATCCTCCCCTGGGTGTGTGGGTGGTGCAAAAAAATGAAAAGACCGAAAATAGAAAATTAAAAATACAAAAAAAAAAAGTAAAAAAAAAATTTGAGGGGGTTTGTGCGGGTTGTAGGGTGTAGGGTGGATGGGTGGTGCAGAAAAATAAAAAAAAATAGAAAATTAAAAATACAAAAAAAAGTAAAAAAAAAAATTGAGGGGCGTAACGCGCGAGGGGGCGGGGATTGGGGGTAGGGTGGGTGGATGGTGCAAAAAAAATAAAAAAAATAGAAAACTAAAAATACAAAAAAAATAAATTTGATGGGGTTTACGGGGGAGGGGGAATAGGGTGTACGGTGCACAAAAACAAAAAAGTAGAAAATTGAAAATACAAAAAAAAAAAAGTAAAAAAAAATTGAGTGGGTTTGCGCGCAGGGGGGGAAGTGAGAGGGCTGGGGTGGATGGGTAGTGCAGAAAAATAAAAAAACAGAAAATTAATACAAAAAAAAAAAGTAAAATTGGGGCAACTAAGTAAGATTCTAGATAAGTGGGTTGAGATCCCTTTGTTTTGGGTGAGTTTCATGGGTTGTATTTGGGCTGCTTAATGGGTCAAAATGAATTATAAAAATAATGGGTTAACTTGGGCTCAGCCCTAATAGACCCATGAGCTAAAATATTTGTAGCCCAACCCATTAATCTCTGGGCGGGTTGGATGGGTTTGGGCTCAAATTGACACCCCTAGACTGCTCATGTTCAATTATTTAATTTTTTTAAAGTATTATCTATGTATTTGGCCAAAGCCAATGGGTGCTCGGCACCCATACCTCAAAACATAAATCCGCCACTGAATAAGATAACCATTTAGGGGAAGAAAATCAGAACCACACCTAACACATCGGTTGTTTT